TATAATATATATATATATATATATATATATATATATATATATAATATATATATATATATATTGTTTGTTATATTTATGCTTTTCTGTATGTTATATACCAAAAATATACAAATTTTATACACTGTTATGACTACCGATTATAAATAATTTCAGCCACGGGCAAAAAGTAATCTTTGCCCAAAATAATACTCAATCTTTTGAAAATGGACTCAAATGAACCTAGAGAGACTATTAAAAAATATTGTATTATAAAGATTCAAAAAATAATTACATGCATGTCTCTTCAACAGATACTAAACAGTTTAACCTTTTTGTTAATTTCATACAAATCTAAACAAGCACAGGAGAATATTTCGAAGCTCAAAAAACTGGAAAACAATTTTTTTTTGTTCCTTTTAGAAAACAAAGACGTTTGGTTGATATTTTTGAAAACGAAATTCTCTCACTAGAAATCCGAAGTGTTATTCCAAAAAGTTAATCCAAACATTAAATAAGAAAGTAAAAAATTAACCTAAAATGAAGAAAAGAAAATTAAAAGAGCCAACCACGAAGGGGTTTTAGGCCGAGCTCACTTCAAACCCCCAACCCCAATGACCCCGGTTTTCTGCCCTACCCGCGCTTGCACCTCTTGTGTTTTCTTCTTCCTCGTCAGCCTCTCTAGGTGCAGAGACCTTCTTCATTTTCTTGAACCTTAGCCTAAGATTCTTGAATTTAAACCCAAAATGATCATTTCCACAAGTTTTTTTTCTCTCTCCACTTCATGAGAATCTGAGTTGACAAAGGCATGCCCTTTAACATCCTTATCAAAAAGGCATGCCCTTTAACACTTTCACTACCAAACAGTTCATCAGCTCAAACCTAATCCCATGTAAGTCTGTATCTAACTTCACCATTTACCACTTCTTTTCAGCTCTTTCCAACCCGTCTCATACTGACCATGAAATAGAAGCTGCCTCTTCTGATAGTTCTTTTGAAGTTGCCCCAAATCTCAAGTTGGCTTCTCCTGAAACTGAAATAAAAATGCCCCCTTTTGATAATTCATTTAATTTTTCCTCAAAACCCAAGTTGGGTTCTTGTGAAACTGAAACGAAAATGCGCACTTCTGATAATTCATTTAAATTCGCCCCAAAACCCAAGTTGGGTTCTTGTGAAACTGAAATGGAAATACCAATTTCAGATAAGTTATTCAAAGAGGCCCCAAAGTTAGGTTCTTTCAAAATGGGCGATTCTACATTCTATTCCCTTGTTGAGAAATATGCTAGTTCTGGGGACTTCAGGTCTTTGGAGATGGTTTTTGATAGAATGAAGCGCGAAAAAAGAGTCTTTATTGAGAAGAGTTTTATCTTAGTGTTTAGAGCTTATGGAAAAGCCCGTTTTCCTGAAAAAGCTGTTGAATTGTTTGATAGAATGGTGGATGAGTTTCAATGTAAACGAACCGTGAAGTCGTTTAATTCTGTTCTTAATGTGATAGTTCAGGCAGGCTTATATCGTCGTGCATTAGATTTTTATGCTCGTGTTGTAAATAATAGTAATATTATGCCAAATGGGCTTTCTTTTAATTTAGTTATTAAGACTATGTGTAAGCTTCGGATGGTCGATAGAGCTCTGGAGGTGTTCAGAGAAATGACTTCTCGGAAATGTGAGCCGGATGTTTATACGTATTGCATTTTGATGGATGGCTTGTGCAAGGATGACCGGATTGATGAGGCGGTTATTCTTTTGGATGAAATGCAGATAGAGGGATGTTTTCCTGTTCCAGTAACATTTAATGTGTTGATTAATGGGCTTTGCAAGAAAGGTGACTTGGCTCGAGCTGCAAAGCTTTTGGATAACATGTTTCTTAAAGGGTGTGTCCCCAATGAAGTGACTTATAACACGCTTATACATGGTTTGTGCCTCAAAGGTAAGTTGGAGAAAGCTGTTAGTTTATTGGATAGAATGGTGTCAAATAAGTATGTCCCGACTGATGTAACCTATGGTACTATTATCAATGGGTTCGTTAAGCAAGGAAGAGCAAGTGAAGGCGTGCAGATCTTGTTGGCAATGCAGGAGAAAGGACATCTGGCAAATGAATATGTCTACTCAGCGCTAGTTAGTGGGTTGTTTAAAGAGGGAAAACCTGAAGAGGCGTTAAAAATATGGACGGAAATGATAGAAAAGGGAGTGAAGCCTAATACAGTTGTTTATTCTGCTTTTATAGATGGCTTGTGTCAAGAAGGCAGATCTGACGAAGCTAAGGAGATCCTTTCTGAGATGATTAAAATGGGTTGTACTCCCAATGCTTACACGTACTGCTCTCTAATGAAAGGGTACTTTAAAACCGGTGACAGCAACAAGGCTATATTTGTATGGAAAGAAATGGCGACCAGTGGTATCACATGTAATGAAATCTGCTACAGTGTACTTATCCACGGACTGTGTCAAGACGGGAAGCTCAAAGAGGCTATGATGATGTGGAAGCAAATGTTAGGCAAAGGATTGGTCCCTGATGCCGTGGCTTATAGTTCAATGATTCACGGTCTTTGCAATGTTGGGTCTGTGGATCAGGGATTGAGACTTTTCAATGAGATGCTATGTAGAGGATCTGATTCTCAGCCTGATGTAATAGCATATAACATAATTCTAAATGCTTTATGCAAGGTGGATAGAGTTTCTCTAGCAATTGATCTTTTGAATAGTATGTTGGATCAAGGTTGTGATCCCGATGCAGTTACATGTAATATTTTCTTGAAAACTTTAAAAGAAAAAGAAAATGTATCCCGAGATGGGGAAGACTTCCTGGATAAGCTGGTGCTGCAACTGTATAGGCGACAGAGAATTGTAGGAGCTTCAAGAATTATAGAAGTGATGCTTCAAAAATTTGTTTATCCCAAGTCCTCTACTTGGGAAATGATTATTCGAGAACTCTGCAAACCAAAGAAGGTTCAAGGAGCTATTAACAAGTGTTGGAGTGACCTTTTCATCTGATATTAGAGGTTAGATACAATTTTTTTTTGGTTGCAAAAATGCAATATCCTGAAACTTTGTTTCCCATGGACACATTGCTCCTAGGGGACAAAAGAGGACACAGACATGAGATTCTTTCACAAGATCCATTCTGTATATTTCAGCAATTATACAATGAGAGGATAACTGCTTATTTCCAAACAGACAGTTGCATCCATAATTACATTCTGCGTTTCTTTTAGTTTGAATGCATGTCAGTTGAACATGTAAGTAACAAAAAATGACATATTTTGTGGGTTATTTCGTCAAACCTCTTAAATGGATACAGAACCTTGCAATTATCATAATCTAGCATAGATAAGTTGTTAGGATACTAAAAAGAAAGCAAAAATGTCATTGAATGTTTTGTTCTTCACTTTCTTACGATATGCTAGATTTGAATCTAAAAGTTCTAATCTACAAATTTGTTACATGTCAGTTTTTATGACACTTCAATACCTCTGGTCATGCATGATCATTGGAAATGGTTTTGGTGAGTCTAAAACGAGTTCATATTTAGGTTATTCTTTTATAGTTGTTTACATTTCTTACTTACCTTGTGCTTCCTCTTCGTTTCAATTTGTATCAAGATGGTTGTTTAAATCCTAATTCAGATTCATATAAGTTATTTTCAAGTTGTGTAGTATAATGTTAAATTTTGAGAATTCAAAATGCTAACAAAGTTGCTGTATATGGCTTATGAAAATAAGTTCAAATTTTTGTTTGCTTATTTCTTCTTGATATGATATAACCTGTGGTAAGAGACAGCGGCAATAGCAGGGGTTATCAATTTCCAGTGTACATGCTGAAGCCAAATCTTTGGAGTTTTTCCGAAAGAAGTCAGCATAAAAAATCAATGCAGTTTCTTTTCTTGGAACAACTTTTTTTATTTTGGACTTAAAATAAGCTGTAATATTTGTACTTTAACCGATAATGATAGCAGAAGTACGCTGCTTTAAGATATTAAAAAAGGATATTTGAGTGTGTGCGCTTTCTACCGACAAAAAAAATGTGTGTGCTTTCCTGAAAGCATTCCTTTTATATAGAGGATGGTGCTTATTGTAGACAAGTTCTTATTTGGAATTGCAAGAGAGACGAAGAGTTTTGATGTTAAAACCAGCATTTTATTAATTTTAAAATGCTCAAAGTTCCTCTAGAAATGGTGCTACAAAAGAACAATTAGATAGAAAGTCTCTACGTTTTGTATAACCTAGACTTCATTCCTATGCATCATCAGAACATTTATCTTAAGGACAAAAGACAATCAGATAGAAATCGTAAGACAAAGAATAGTTGTTAGAGTGTGACTACTATTGAACTGAAGCTACTAGGTATTAAATTAGTTGAATTTATAATATTGTACTACCAGCCTGCAAGTCTCTCTTCTGCGTGCTTTCCTCTGGCGTTGCTCTCTCAACCATTCCACTTCAAACTAAATGTGCTCTCTGTACTCACGTGAAGTAAATTTCTCTTCCTATATGCTGCGCTTCAGTGTGATTTGCATTTACTAGCTGTTTATTTCTTTGTTCATGTAATAGCAGCATCCCTACCCCCCCCCCCCCCCCTACCCCTACCCCCCCCTAAAAAAAAAAAAAACCTTAGAAGCCAGATTTGCAATTTTTCTGATTTTTGGAGTTGTTTTAGTAGGTGAATGTACATACTAATATCTGCCGTTCTTTTGATTGGTAAAGGAACTAAACGTATCTGCTGGTGCATCTTGCATATGTTGATTTAATTTTCTTGTGGTACAGCTATTAGAATTATTAATTTTCGCAACTAACTTGGGATCACAATGGTGGGTGAAAGAGATAATGTGAGTGTGGTGGTTGCATATGAGAAGCTTGAAACTCAAGTTGACAATGGTAGCGAGGACTCCACAGGGTCATCACATGATGCTTTCATGATGTGCAAGAGGTTGAGGCATGAAAAAGCAGTAGAAGATGACAAAATTTCGGTGGCTGCAGCGAGTGGCATTACTGTTTTAGTCTAGTAATATTCATTTGAAAGTTTTCAAAATTCAGATGTTTCTCAGTTTTTGAATTCTTAAGTACCATTTTCTAGGTTCATTTATCCATCAAATACACTCTTTTTTTTAAGGACATGAAGCTACATGATTTTCATTGGGATGATATGGATCCAACTTATTTTGGTGCTTTTATGAATGATCATTATGCAGAAATTGTAACTTTTGGGGACATATTTTGTCAAGTGGCACTCGGATATGTGGCATGGAAGTTGGTACCGATGCTTCTGAGAAGCATTGCTCGGGTTTTAGAAAAGTTCAAGAAAATATGAAAATGATACAAACACTACTAGTTCCTTGAAGTAAGTTTTCAAATTTTTAACCTATCTTTAATCTTGATTTAGAATGTGTTTCCTATGTGCTGATGTTTATCTTCTTACTTTACATGTTTTCCCTCCTGTAACGTGACATCTATACTTTTTCTCTATTTATGGACTTGAATGTAGTTGACATTCTTGAGAATGTACCTCTAACATGAGCTGTAGTTGACAGTTCTCATTATTCATAATGGTAGAATTGTGTGTGTTGTTATTTCTTCAGCAATTGACTTCATGTAACATAAATCTTATGATTTCAGGAATAAGTGCGACGGGGACTCAAGTCCAAGATTTCTTGGTAGGTGTAAAAATCTTATGACCTGGCTTTTTCCACGTCTTCTTCCGAGATCTTTGACGACACTACCTTCTTTGGTTGACGAGCCATGTCATAAGTTGCATGGAGGCCAAAAAGAATATAATACATCAGCATTACAACCGTACATATGCCAAACCTTATAAATGCCTGAGCTCCTAATGATCCCATGAGAAACAAGTTTATCACAATTGAGAGGGATGGGAACCATGGAACCAGTGGGACTCCCCAGACTTTTGGTGTTCTTTCCTGTGGCAAAAGAACTGATATTGCCAAAGTTGCCAAGAACCAAAGGGGAACAGTTATCGTGTAGCCAAGCCAACCATTAGGGTTCAGTCCCCAGTAAGCAGAAGTCCCAATGGAAGATAGAATTATGACCAGTAAAAAAAAGGTTAGCTTCAAAAGATTCGTTCGGGGGGTTATACCTCTGACATAATATCTCCTCACAAGCAGAGCAACAGCCATCATCATTGATATAAGAAGGCTGCTTACAGATAACAAACTTGCCAAGACATCCAAACTTGAAAAGAAGGCTATACAGGCACTTGCAAGTCTGATTAATAGAGTTGCATTTATGGGAGTTCCTGTCTTTGGGTGAACAAGTGCAAACCATGGCGGAATCATGTGAACTCGTGCGATATGAGTGGCGTAGCGTGCCTGCCCAATCGCTCCTACCAAAAGGACAGTGGTCATTCCCTTAAGAGCTCCAAGGGCTACCAGATATTTTGCCCATTTCATTCCTACACTTTGAAATGCAACAGAGTAGGCGGCATTAGGGTCTATATCAGTATACTTCTGCATCATACTCAGTGAAAGTGCCATCAAGCAATATATCACGGTGATAATTGACATTGACCCTAGCAATCCTAGTGGTATATCTTTTGATGGATTTTTTGTTTCCTCTGCCATGGTTGCAATGTTGTCAAAACCCCCATATGCAAAATACACAATTGCTGCTGCAACAAAGATACCTTTGGCACCATGTGGCATAAAGGGTGTCAAGTTTGAGCTATCAGCATGAGCAAATCCAGCAACTATGACAAATAAAATCACCATCATATTTATTGCGGATGCTATCCAGTTGAAATATGAAGTTCTTCTAGTGCTGCTTATTGCAATTATTGATGTAATTACTAGAACTGCAACAGCTATTGGATCTAATAAGTTGAACCCATCTGCGAGGTTTGTATGTATACGTAAAGAGTTTGGATGAAGGTTCAGGAGTGTTGTAAAGTAAGAAGTCCAGGCTCTTGCTACTGCTGCACCTCCAGCAATGGATCCAAGAATTATGTTTCCTGCTGTGATAAAGGCTGCGAAATCTCCTAGTTCTACTCTGATGTACGCAAATGACCCTCCTGCTACAGGAATTTCTACCGCAAATTCTGTATAGCAGAATACAGAGAGCATTGCTGAAATGCCAGAAGCCACATAGGATAAAATTATAGCTGGTCCGGCATGCTCATGAGCTTCTTGGCCAGTGAGTACAAAGATGCCTGCTCCAATAACCGAGCCAAAGCCAAACCAGGTGAGGTCCCACCAACTAAGGCAACGTTTCATCTCGTTTTCACTTTGTTTCCTTAGCTCCTCAATCTCATCAGCGTCCTCAGAACGGCTTGCAGCTCGGTCCTTGAATCTGGTAAATGTTTGTGATAGTGCTGATTGGTATGTGCTCCAATTCTGGAAAGACTCTTCTGGGAAGAAGTCTTGTTTGGTCCATCTCCAGTAACTTCTTGGTTGAATCTCATCTTCTATTTCACCAACAGAGTCCATTACTGTTGTATTCATTTAGGACTTGTTAAACTGCTATAGAATGCTAGTAGTAATTACTGGCTCATATGGGGTATCCATCGAACTGCTATTTATAGGTTCATTTTCTTGATGAATGGACTCCCATATCTTCAATTATTGTTATTGATAAGGTTGACACTGGAACCTAGTGGCTACTGTCTAAACAAGTGTGCTAAATTCGTTATTTTTTGTTTTATGCCCATATAGTCCTGGCAATGATAAAAATAGAGCCAATGGATAGTTGGGCATGTGATGTATGACAGGTACTAGTGTCACACCTCCTTTTACACACCTACCCCGAAGGATAATGTATAAGAGAGTTTTTCCATTTAAAGTGACATATTCGAAATGGGATTATTTATTTATGTTTTTAAAGTCGCCACTTGGGATAGGATTGGCTTTTGGTGTCCCAAGTCACCGATTTAACTTAAATCCCAAATCGAGGAAATTTCGACTTCCCGAATGGAGGTTGCGAACCAGAAATTCTAAATAAGGAATTCTGTTGACCCGAGGGAAGGTGTTAGGCACCTCCGGATCCCGTGGTTCTAGCACGGTCGCTTAAATTATTACAAATGGCTAAAAAAAATCTAATTTTTATACATGCTCCAACCTATAGTGCAATTTTATAATTATTTACCGCTTTTAGTTAAAATGTTTTAAGAAAGTGAACGTCGTTTAAAAACGTATCTTCGGATCACGTCACATGAAATGCACTCGGATCCTCGACACATTCTTATTCAACGTTTTGGGATTTGGATTTGGGTTGCATGAAATGCACACCCGTATTTAAGAGGTAAAAATATTAAAAACGTGCCTAAAGCGACTAACGGGTTATTAACTTTGCGGGAGGCCGCGAAATTCACTAAACGGCACGCCCAGATTCTAAGTATTTTGATATAAGCATTTAATGAAGGCCCCACAATTTGTGTGTCTTATTTGGCTAGGCTCATCTCACTTTATTATTTAAAGGCCAAACTAAAGTGACCTATGATTTTCTATTTTTGTATCTAATAATAAGGAAATAGTCCTAATTAATTAATGTCATAACATCCGGGCCCCAAGTTCAAGTCCGGGTTCAAACAAAAGGAATAGACCTCTTAATTTGAACCTGCTACTTAACTCGAGAACCCGATGTTACAAACTAGACTTAATGAACCTAAGGGAATTATAGCCTCCGGCACATTTGGGCTTCAAGACTGATTCAACCAAGTCCATGAAGAACAGCCCAATAAGAGGTCCAAATTATGATTGCAGAGGGTCAAGTGGCCTGGGCTTGTGATAAGCCCAATAGCGGATACCAGTTTCATTTTTGGACTGGCTAACATCTTAACGGGCTGTTACATATATGTATTTAAATCAAAGACCAAATCAACCAAATGTTGGGTTAATCTAAGAAGTAATTGACTTTGAAATTGATTTTTTGTTAATATTGATTCGAGGCACAATCAGTTAGGCTAGCGGTCCAACGTATCAGTCCATATTGTTCCAATTTAATCCTCAAGTTCATATGACACTATATTTGACTCTCTGTTAACTGCTCCTAACAATCAGATGTCCAATTATTGATTACAAAAGGGAAATATACGATTTCAAGGGCACTTCTACGTACAGAACATTTCTAATCATAACTAACACAATGAATATTAAATATTTGCACATCAATAAATATCTAACTATGTACATGCGATAACAGGGATTTAAACATCCAATGTCAGCTTAATTAATTGTGCTTAAACACACATTGAAGTCCAACACAACCCTAGATAATCGAACTAGTACTGAAAATCCATTAATAATCTATTAACAATCCATTGACAGTCCATATTCTCATTAATACAACTGAAATTATGGTTCAAATGAATCAGTCACACGAAAAGTCTAAACTAAGCAATAACAGTAAAGTTCAGGTGCAAGCATGTATTCCTTTATCATTTATACTTCAAACTTGTGGTCTACAGGTGAAGGCAATCTTCAGCATCACTTGAGCATGAGAAAATACCTGGATTACAATGACATAAAGGAGAAGAGGAGGGTCAGCAGCAATTTGTTGAACTAAAGGCAAACAACATGTCACAACAGCTCAAAATCAGCCTCAAACCCAGGTTCAAAATGCAAACGAAATCCAGCAAACCATATAACCAGCAAACACACCAAAACTTGACTCAAACGACCCAAATTCAACTCGAAATTGAAGCTAAACCACTTCTGATGTTTCAGTAATAAGAATCAAGCTTGGAACTAGAATCAATGCCTAAAACTCCAATTAACCTCAAAAATGCGATGAAACAGCGCTCTTTTTGATTTTCTATTGTATTTTTCTTTTTTTTTTGATTTTTGGGGTAGAATATAAGATCTAAAGAGTTTGGATTTGAACTTCAAATTTCAGATCTATGAAACTTGAAGAGTATTTTTGGGGGGGATTTTTTTTTGTGGCTTCCAAACTTCTAAACTTTGAGGGATTTTTCAGAGGGTCTCCAAACTTGTAATCCAAGGCACTAGACATGCCTTTTATAGGCAGAAAAGGGGGCAAAAGGTTCTGGAAATTTTTACTCATTTTTCCCCCCTTTTTATTTTCAGAAATTGTACCTTAAACCCAAAGTATTGACTTGTTTGTCAAGTTACTACTTTTAAAAAGCTGAAACTTACACAAAGACCCCTTCTAGAAGGATCTAGGGTGTTCTAGCTTTGTTTTCCTACCTATAAAATGTCTATATTACCCTTACTTGAGTTCTAAAATTACCATGTCTTAACAAACCAACCCATTTTAGATGCCTAAACTACCCTTGATCGCCCCTGAAATTACTAACCAAACCCAAACCCCTTTGTCCTAGTTAGAATTCAATTATAGTTAACTAAGGATGATTCATTCAGCTATATCCAATCACCAAAACTAAAATTTAACTCTAATTAATATGTAACATTGAACTAATAAGCAGTAAACTGTTAAAAACCTAGTAAAATATCATATAATAACACTCAATAAACCTATGATTAACTTACATCAATAAGCAAACTACAGCACTAGTTCATCAATATGTCAACCAAGCATGAATTCAACAAGTAACGATTAAACACTAATTCATGAATTTAGACTACTATCAGTAAGAATAGAGGAGGAATCAAAAACAAAAATTTAAACGACAAAACCACAAGTACTGATTACTGCCAAAAAGAGTATAAGGAAAAGATGAACAAAATTAACAGAAACAAATGAAAATTATATTCAAACTAACTAAAGAAATAGGA